TCACTGGAGAGGGACTGACCATTCACTTGTGATGTTATGCTATGTTTACATGAACTGAAATAAAAGAGTTAACAATGTAGTCATTTTTAATTCTTAAGAGCAAGCACATGTATCAACTGAATTCTATGTATAAATTTATACATTCCTCAAAAAAACCCTTGGGCTTAATGGGCTGAAAAATATTGGCAACACCTGTTTCAAGAACAGTGTAATCCAATGTTTATCAAATACGAAATGGTTACTGGAATATTTGAAAAAGGATGAGTACATGAAAGATATCAATTCTAATATTTCTAACACGGAGGGTGCTTTAATCAAAGCTTTCGCAGGAGTATTCAAGGAATTGTGGTCAGAAGATTCATTTGATAGAGCAGTGAACACAGTCTCCTTAAAAAGTCAGATTCAGAGTTTTGCCCCTCGATTCATGGGTCATGCGTATCAAGACGCCCAGGAGTTCCTTCGTTATCTTTTGAAGGTTTACATGATGACGTTGATAAAATTATTGAGAAACCTAAACCGACCTTTATGGAGATAACCAAAGTTGATACATATACATATAACTCTAAGATTGTAGATAATTTCGTTTATTAATTCAAATCCACGATGAAGTGCACACACTGCGGATACGCATCAGTAACCTTTGATCATTTCTGGGATTTGTTACTCCCCATACCACAAAGAACTGGCCAATTGAGTTCATCACAGTGCTTGGATTTCTTCACAAGAGAGAAAACTTTGGATGGACATGAAAAACCGAAGTGTTCAAGTTGCAAGGAAAGAAGAAAATGCACAGTCCCTATCGATCCATAAGTTTCCCGGAATTTTAGTCCTGCATTATAAAATATTTTCTCTGACAGAAAGATTTAGAGGCGAGTGAAAGTTGCCATCGAATTTTCTCTAGATGGATTAGATATGAACAATTATGCAGCAGACAATTTCACTCCTTGTCGTTATAATCTAATAATCTCGTGTCACCAATTTCACCAAAATCGCTTGTGACTAGAGATGTAAACATCCTCTTTTATGAAAAGGAGAAAATGAGTTCGCACCTTTGACCTTATAAATGTCAAAGCTATTTTCCGGGTTTATTGGCCGTGGTCTGCAAGTTCTTATGCCAAAAATTTAGTCTACAATTGCGGTAGATATTAGCGATGAGGCAACGGACGCAGTGCTCTAAAGCACATAACTATGTCTGTGTTATTTCTGGATCATTAGAAAACATTGAATTTAATAGCTGTGTTGAAAATTCACGGTAGCACTGACATTGAGACTGATATCCATCCTCAAATGGTGTTCCTAGAACCTCAGTGGGAAAGCTTTGCCTATGTACCGTCAAACAGTAATGGAATTTGATCGCTGGAGAGTCACAGCTAAGTTTGACCGGATCCTTCTTCTGGGGCATCACAGTGGCTCCAGAAGTTCTTCATGATAATTTCCTACCAAACGGCCCAAAGGTTAAATAAGACAAAGTGTGTAAGATATAATCAAAATTTTTTGTTCGTTTGAAAGACCTATTGTGAAACATCCAAATTTCCATGATTTTAGCTCTTAAAACAGGCTGAATTTGATCGATGGCATGGGTTATGTTGGTTTTGAGGACCGCTTTGGTTTGTGGCACATTCCATACACCTGCGACTTGGAAAACCTCACAAGGAAAAGTCTAACGGGGACAAATAGCATAATCTCGGTGGCCAGTTCATATCACTTCCACGTGAGATCTTTGATCTCTTTGATGAGATTCCATAGCCTTGACACTGACCCCTTGATATAGCTGGCAGCCTCTGGTTTCTCTTTCCCGAATCTTGCGTGTCTCAGCCTTGCTATTGCTTCGCATTCACAGAGCACATTTAGTGCAGTTTCTTCCTCTTTTTGACAGAACCTGCATTGGGTTTCTTCCGAGAGACCCATGTTGCTCATGTTTTCTGAGTCGGTTGCCACTATCCTTACAACCTCACGATTGTGAGATCTTCCATGAATCTGGGCGATGGTTTCTTTATGAACTCTTTATGGATGCCTTCATACATGCTTTCGCTACCCCACCCCGCAGAAGGGTTCAGGGCCGATCATAGTCTTGGATGCGCCTTCACGGGCTAGAAAATCGGCCTCCTCATTGCCCCTGTGACCCTCATATCCAGATACCCAAGCTAAAGTGACCCCATTTTGGGTACTTAGCTCCTCAGACAGCTCAGACAGCTTCCCACCAGTCTTGAGGAGACTTTAAATGAGCTGAGCGTCTTAATTACCGCCTAGATGACGGAGAAAATAGTAATGGTTTCATTTGTGACCGAACAGAACACCCATTTTGATAAAACAATTTTATTATTTGCACGTGTTGAATGCTATATCCATCCATAGTTCTTTGGCATAACAGACTGAATAAATGATAATTAATTTGTCAGATGTAGCCTCAACAAGATGGCCATTTTATGATGCCTCAATTCTGAATTGATCAATGCGTAGCAAATTACTTTATATCTTTTTCAATCTAAATGACATAAAAATAATTTTTTCGTATAGAAAAATGAAATTACGATATTATGATTTTTGTATTGATTTCTGATAGACTGAATAAAAATGAAAGCAATGGATAACTTGATCCACGTGATGATATTTTGTTTTGTAATGAACAAGTTACCACTTTCTCGAAATTTCAGTGTTGATTGAAAAATTTTCGGCATTTTTCCAAGCACAATTGATTTTTAAATATTTATAACAGGCTTCAAGTTCCTTTTTTCACTTTGTAGTAACAAATCAAGTACTCACCTAGATATTAACTTTGGGAGACAATCATGATTATCATAAGTGATAAACACAGGATTCAGAAAGGTATCATAACTTGTTAAAAAAATACGGGTCTGTATTCTAAAAAAATTGACGAGGGAAGCCCTAAGTAAACGAACGAACGCAAATAATTACAAATGATTGCATATTGAAAACCCTGGATTTTTTTTTATATCGGCCTCCTCATTGCCCCTGTGACCCTCATATCCGGGTACCCAAGCTAAAGTGACCCCATTTTGGGTACTTAGCTCCTCAGACAGCTCAGACAGCTTCCCACCAGTCTTGAGGAGACTTTAAATGAGCTGAGCGTCTTAATTACCGCCTAGATGACGGAGAAAATAGTAATGGTTTCATTTGTGACCGAACAGAACACCCATTTTGATAAAACAATTTTATTATTTGCACGTGTTGAATGCTATATCCATCCATAGTTCTTTGGCATAACAGACTGAATAAATGATAATTAATTTGTCAGATGTAGCCTCAACAAGATGGCCATTTTATGATGCCTCAATTCTGAATTGATCAATGCGTAGCAAATTACTTTATATCTTTTTCAATCTAAATGACATAAAAATAATTTTTTCGTATAGAAAAATGAAATTACGATATTATGATTTTTGTATTGATTTCTGATAGACTGAATAAAAATGAAAGCAATGGATAACTTGATCCACGTGATGATATTTTGTTTTGTAATGAACAAGTTACCACTTTCTCGAAATTTCAGTGTTGATTGAAAAATTTTCGGCATTTTTCCAAGCACAATTGATTTTTAAATATTTATAACAGGCTTCAAGTTCCTTTTTTCACTTTGTAGTAACAAATCAAGTACTCACCTAGATATTAACTTTGGGAGACAATCATGATTATCATAAGTGATAAACACAGGATTCAGAAAGGTATCATAACTTGTTAAAAAAATACGGGTCTGTATTCTAAAAAAATTGACGAGGGAAGCCCTAAGTAAACGAACGAACGCAAATAATTACAAATGATTGCATATTGAAAACCCTGGATTTTTTTTTATATCGGCCTCCTCATTGCCCCTGTGACCCTCATATCCGGGTACCCAAGCTAAAGTGACCCCATTTTGGGTACTTAGCTCCTCAGACAGCTCAGACAGCTTCCCACCAGTCTTGAGGAGACTTTAAATGAGCTGAGCGTCTTAATTACCGCCTAGATGACGGAGAAAATAGTAATGGTTTCATTTGTGACCGAACAGAACACCCATTTTGATAAAACAATTTTATTATTTGCACGTGTTGAATGCTATATCCATCCATAGTTCTTTGGCATAACAGACTGAATAAATGATAATTAATTTGTCAGATGTAGCCTCAACAAGATGGCCATTTTNCGAATACAAAGCAAAACAGAAAGAGAGGAAAACAAAATAATTAAGATAATAATTATAGCATTTACCTGTTATGTCAGGTGATCAACAATTTCATTATAGTATACCAAAACAATTCATTTATCACTTCTGAATCTGTGCTCAATAAAAAGGTTTTGAAACGTTTTTTGAGGAGACAGTAAGAATTTATGGAGTGAATGTATATTTTGTACATCTCTGGAATAAATTAAAAACCTTGAGTGATATTGTGTGAAACATCTCTGTCCCATTGATTTTTTGGTTTTGTTTATTTTGACATATTCGTTACACTTTGTTCTTGTGTCATAGTTATGATCGATTTTTGGTAATGTTCGTCTAATTTTATAGAGATATGCAATGATATTATATAAATACAATTTTCTAATGCTCAGTATATTTGCATCACGAAATAATTCTACAAACTAATTGTTTAAGAGGCCTTATTTACATTCAAAGTCAATCTTCGGATTATTTTTGGTACAACTGGTATACAGAGCAAGTGTATATTTTTTATAATTTATATTTTTGCTGTTCGTTACAGGTTCCTATTGTTGCTGACCTTCTTGTTGAGTGTTGCATTTAGTGCTGATCATGGACTCTTTAAAGATTGTTCCAGAGTTCCATTTTGCACGTAAGTTTCATCGATAAAAACTGTATAAATTGAAAAATACATGTTTTGAAAATAATAATAAAATCTCAAAACTTCCTGATGAGCCAATAAGTTACTGTAGAAACCATTGAAATTAATGATCGATTCATAAATTTTCTGTAAGGCATATTTCAGATTTATAAAATATAAATCCCCACCAGAACTTTGAAGAATAGTAGCAATTTTTTGAATGGAATCATTAAAATAGAAACCAAATATNAATCTTCGAAACAGAAACCAAATATTTGAAACAATAAAACACATTTTCCAACTTTGCTTTACTTACTCAAATTTCTGAATAAAACAATGTAGAGAGTTGAATATATTCAACTCACACAGATAATTGTTTGCAAAAGTATTGTACAGAAGATAGTTTGTTATATTTGTTGGACATCATAGTAATGAGAAATTGATAAAAATCATCTAAAATTTGCTGGAATGAAAACTATCCTGTGTCATTCCAGGTGTGCTTCAAACCAAATTCGTTCAACAGTTTTTGTGAGATTGAGTAAACATACATATACACTCTCACTATTTCAGTTTGAAAACGATGTTGATGTTTCAGGAATTTTCGTCATCTACAACTAAATGAAAATGATCAATTCAAAGCTCAGATTTCTTCTCTCGCTCAAGACAATAATGTTGCCAAGATTGCTCTGACTGATGGTAAAAATAGACGACTTGAATTGCAAATAACGTTCCTTCAAGGCCGCAAACTGAGATTGAAAGTTCTGGAGAAAAACAATCCCCGATATGAACTTCAACACGTGCTTG